GATCCTGCAAACTCTTCCCAGCATCCTTGGGGCCACTGCAGAAGAAACAATGAAGAAACTTGAATTCTTGGCCACCAGATGGCACTGTGATGCCATTGGTATCTAAAGAGCTCTGGGGAGATTCTGGGAGAACAGAAAAGAGTTAAGAAAACTAGGGCATGGATCCAACATTGGGCAGATGTTGAAGTTTTCAGTTATTGCTAGGCTACCTATAGCTATGAAAGAGGTGGGAGGTCCCTCTAAACATTAATGAGATCAATAGTGGAAGGATTTGGGCAAGGCAGCCTTGATGGCAGGGACAGGTGCAGACAGAGGTAATTGTCTCAGAGAAATGTGGGAAACCAAGGGGAGGGGTGCTGCCTACACTCAGTGCATTCAAGCCCATCTCCCCTGCAGGCCCTGCTGAACTATATCTATGAGAGGAGTTGCTGATTCAACCTGAGCCAAGTCTGTAGGAGACCTGGGCCATGGAGCCTCTGCTGGGTGGGGGGCAGTTACATCCCAGGCAAACCTGTGTACTCACTGGAGAAGGGCCCCTGAGCTCCCTCTCAGTCTGTGGTCAGAGCATTTAGCTGGGACAGCCCCATCTCGCCCTGACCTGGCTGGGCCATGAGCCCCAACCTCTTTTGTGTGATGCTTTGTCTCCTTTCAGCTGGAAACCTCTGCCAGGGGTTTGCGAAGTCCCAGCTCCAATCTCCCACACCCCTTTCAGTATCCAGCTTATTCCTCAAGTCTTGTCTTTACTTACATCTGCTTCTCCAACAGGCCCCATGGATGCTGCAATCACCCAGACCCCAAGATACTATACTATACAATCAGGAAAGAAGGTGACCCTGGAATGTTCCCAGGACACGTACCACTTTGTGATGTACTGGTATCCACAAGACCCAAGACAGGGGCTGAGGCTGATCCATTATTCACGCAGTTTCGGCAGCACTTCCAAAGGGGATGTCACAGAAGAGTACAGTGTCTCCTGAAACAAGAATGAGCATTTTCTCTTGACCCTGAAGTTGGCCAACACCAACCAGACCTCTTTGTACCTCTGTGCCAGCAGTCAGTACACAGCTGTGTGCAGCCAGTTGCCCTCTGCACAAATAGGGCAACCATAGAGTGGAAGACACTCCTTCCTGAGGCCCCTGTCTTGCTAGGAGGAAAACTTGCCCCTCCTGATGCTCTCACCCGACTCCTCTGCAATGGAATGTCAGCCTGAGGGGCTCCAGTGAGAACCTCAGCAGCGTGATCCTCTGTGTGAATTGAGGTCCATCATCTCAAGGTGTGCCTGTGTATGTGTTGGTGTTGGTGTGTAAGTGCAAATAGCACTTTATTAGGAATATTCTGGTAACTGAATAAGCAGAGGAGCAGTAGCATTCAACATGAAATTTATATTTGGTGGCTACTTGGAAAAGCTGTTCCTGTCTGCAGAGGCTCCATTTACGGAGAGAGGCCCCATTTACGGAGAGAGGCCATGTACTAGTCCTTAAAGAACTGTGAGCATCTTTCTGGGTAGAAACAATAACATTGTCTAGGATGGTCCAAGAATAGACCAAAGTCCAAGATTTGCCTGAATGATTCAGATCAATGCTTTAAAGACTAATGGCCCAGCCAGTGAAACTTAGTAGTAGAGTGTCAACCTATAAAACAGGAGGTCAAGGTTAGATTCCTGGTCAGGGCACATCCTGGGTTGTGGGCTCCATTCCCAGCTGGGTGTGTGCAGGAGGCAGCCAATCAATGATTCTCTCTCATAATTAATGTTCCTGTCTCTTTCTCCCTCTCCCTGCCTCTCTGAAATCAATAAAAATATATATTAAAAAAAATGAATGGCCCTAACCGGTTTGGCTCAATGGGTAGAGCATTGGCCTGCAGACTCAAGGGTTCCAGGTTTGATTCCAGTCAAGGGCATGTACCTTGGTTGCGGGCACATACCCAGTAGGGAGTGTGCAGGAGACAGCTGATCGATGTTTCTCTCTCATCGATGTTTCTAACTCTCTATCCCTCTCCCTTCCTCTCTGTAAGAAATCAATAAAATATATTTTTAAAAAAAGATGAATGTAGTTTCCTTTCCTTAGGCAGCAAAGACTGAAAATAGACTCTTATTTCAAAGTGTAGAATCTTAAAAGTACTGGAGTGAGAATATCTTCCTGAGACAACAGTGTTTCTTCCCACTTTTTATGGGAACCTTATTTGAGAAAGCTATGACGTGTTCATCAACCCTGTGTTGACACCACAACCAAATTGCAATTCTACTGCCATTTGAATTGTGGAAATGTAGTAACTTGTTTCTATTGAGTTTGGAAATGCAGGCACTAGAGGGCGCTCATTTACCTTCCTTTTCAGATAAAGTGGGGGGTGGGGGGGTTGTTATTCACAGGTGGAGCTAGACTGAGGGGTCAGGGCCTCCACTCTTGTTGTTTGGGGACATTTATTTATTTTAGAACTGACTTAGAAACAGAAGAGGCATCTTGATAAGGAATTGAGGACAAAAGTCATTTTGAAGATAAATGAATTTATAGAGGGTATTGTTTTTTTACCTCCAAATTTAATAGAAGGACCTAACCAACTTAGATCAGTACTCACCAGAGGCACCATTTCATTCCCAGAAGCTTTGAACTGTGAATTTAAACTGCTCTCAGGGGAAAATGGGACAACCTCCCATCCATACCCCCCACCCTCCCAATACATATCCCACTGCTGCCCAAATCATAAAAAGGACAAAGAAAATGCAGGATGAAGATTAGAATTAGGAGACCTCAAAGGGAAGGTGAAGACCTCAACTGTGAAGTGCTGTTGAATTCAGGTGAAAATGTACAACTAACAACGTGAAGAGAACGAGACACTAGAGAAGACTGGCCAGATAGGGAGTGTGGGGTCTGGGCGATAGAGCACTGGAGCTCAGAGGGATGACAACCAAAAACAGAATCGGTGTGTATTTACATCCATGTTTGAATTACTATTTCTCATTCATTCTCTTTCACAATTTTCATCTTTTAACATTTCTGGTTATGAGTCACAATATTTTTTTTTTCTTTCTTAATAGTAGTTAACAGAATGGTGCATCCCAGAGTTGCTAGCACAGTGATGGCGAACCTTTTGAGCTCGGTGTGTCAGCATTTTGAAAAACCCTAACTTAACTCTGGTGCCATGTCACATATAGAAATTTTTTGATATTTGCAACCATAGTAAAACAAAGATGTATATTTTTGATATTTGTTTTATATATTTAAATGCCATTTAACAAAGGAAAATCAACCAAAAAAATGAGTTCGCGTGTCACCTCTGACACGTGTGTCATAGGTTCGCCATCACTGTGCAGCTAGCATCTTAGATATAATTAATTAATTCATTGCTTAATTACTTAATATCAGGGAATCCTGGGGCTTAGTGATGTCACTATGGGAACTGCTTTGTGGGGATAAGGGAAGTCCCTCCTCCTCTGCTCATGCTCACAAGGACCCTGACCTGGGTAACCTCCCAATCCTGTCCTCACCCTGCCATGGGCACCAGGATCCTCTGCTGGGTGAGCCTCTGTCTCCTGGGGGCAGGTGAGTCCTCAGAAAACCAAGCCCTTTCATTGTGTTTTGTGTGTGTTTGATGATTACAATTATTTTTCCTCATTCTATTCCCAATTTCTGTCTCCATAGGTCACACAGATGCTGGAGTGTCCCAGTCCCCCAGGCACATAGTCACAGAGAGGGGACAGGATGTTGCTCTCAGGTGTGATCCAATTTCTGGACACTCGGTCCTTTACTGGTACCAACAGACACTAGGGCAGGGCCCGGAGTTTTTGCTTTACTTCCAAGGCAAGAATGGCCCATACACATCAGGGATGCCTAAAGAGCGGTTCTCTGCTGAGAGGCCTGATGGCTCCTACTCTACTCTGAAGATCCAGCGTGCAGAGCAGGGGGACTCAGCCGTGTACCTCTGTGCCAGCAGCTTAACCACAGCGCTGCAGAGTCACCCTCTTCCTGCTCTCAAACCCTCATGTGCTCACCTCTCCTCACAGTTCCCAGAGTCCTGAAATAAGGGGAAATAAATGCTTTGGGACTTGAATTGTTGTTTTTACAGTGGGAGGTAAAAAAATGACCTTCAAAATACCAGAACAGGTCACCTTGGGCAGTAACGTTCTGTCTGGTTTTCTAGGATTCCTTTCTATAGATCAAGATTCCATAATTGAGATTGAGCACCAGATCTTAGTGTCAGGTATGGTCTCCTGTAAAATATAAAGTTTTAACATAATTATATTAAACTACTGGCACTGAGCATCACTGACTCAGATGACACTAAGCTTTAGTGTGGGCCGCCAATGCAGAGCACTGTCCAGGCCTCATGCAGCCGCCAGCCTTAAAATATACACATTAGAATATACAGCCTTAAAATATACACATTAGTAAGAACTGTCATCAAGTGCTCAATGGTTGAGCATCGACCCATGAACAGAGTGGTTGCTGGTTCAATTCCCAGTCAGCACACATGGATTGTGGGGCTAGAATCCCAGTGGGGAGTGTGCAGGAGGCAGCCAATCAATGTTTCTCTCTCATTGATGTTTTCATCTCTCTCTCCCTTTCCCTTTATCTCTCTGAAATCATATATATATATGAATTGACATTGAAATAATTATCCAGGAGCACCTGTCAGCCACAATAATGCATGTTAATGTATGTCTATATACTGTTTTATTGTTTTTCTTGACAATCAGCTGTCTTCTCAAATCTATTTTGAATAGAAATTTAAATTTAGCTTGGTTTATTAAACACCCTACTTGAGACAATGTTAAAGAAAAGTGATTCAAAGAAGACCTGAAAAACAGTTACACTGCCCCCCTTTATCTTTGGGGGATACTTTCTAAGAACCCCAATGGATGCCTGAAACCACTGATAGTACCAAACCCTGTATACACTGTTTACCCTTGCGCTTTGGGGCCACTATTAGGTGAAATAAGGGTGACTAGTACACAAGCACTGTGATGCGACTACAGTCAATGTGATAACCAACCAAGACAGCTACTAAGTGACTAATGGTGGGTTGTGTACACAGCATTGATGTGCTGGACAAAGGGATGGTTCGTGTCCTGCATGGGACAGACCAGATGGCACAATATGTCATCAGGTATTCAAAATGGTGCTCAAGTAAAAACTTGGGAATTGTTTATTTCTGGAATTGACCATTTAATAATTCTGAATGGTGCTTGACTGCTGGAAACTAAAACTGTGGAAAGCAAAACTGCAGATAAGGAGGGGGAGGGGCGCTATAGTACATAAAAGTAAAATGTATGACAACAGGAGAAAGACAGAGAGCAGATAAATTATCTTACCATTGTGAGGTTTTCCTAATCTATGTCTGGTGGTATAATACCGCTTCAAGGTAGACTGTGTTAAGGCAAAGATGTAAATTGCAAATGCTAGAGCCACCAACTAAAATATCAAACACAGAATTATAACTACTAAGTCAACAAAAATAGAGATAATGGAATCATTAAAATAATTAATACCCAAGAGTCCATAAAAAGAAGTAAAGAGGGGCAAGCAAAAGATGGGGCTAATACAACAAATAGCAAGTTTATGATAGATACTAACAAACTAGATCAATAGTCGTATCAAATCAAAGTAGTCTCAATGCCCCAAATAAAAAGCACAGATTGTGATTTTGAGTAAAAATGAAAAATCAACAACTGTATGCTGCCCACCAGAAATGTACTATGAACATAAAGACTCAGAAGGTAAAAGTAAAAGAATGGACAAGATATACCAGGCTAACACTAATCACAGGAAAGCTGGAGCAGCAATAATACCATCAGACAAAATCAATTTCAGAACAATGAATATAGTCTGGGATAAAAAATCTCATATTCTAATGCTAAAAGGACAAATTGATCAAGAAAACATAGCAATCATAAATATTTATACATCTAAAAGGAGAGTTTAAAACCCTGAACAAAAACAGCAAGGAGAAATAGACAAATTCACAATTATAATCAGACATTTCAACACCTGTCAGTAATTGGTTGAACAACTTGATACCACCACCCCCCCAATAAAATTAGTGAGGAAACAGAAGACATTAGTAACATTATTGATCACCTCGGCCCAACTAACATTTATAGAACAGATCACCCAACAGCAGCAGAGTACACATTCTTATCGAGTGCACACAGACCATGGCCAGGATACTGTAGACTTTGGGTATAAAATAAGTACCAACGCATTTAAAATAATTCAAAAGCATGTTCTTTCACCACAGAGGAACTGAATTAGATATCAATAACAGAAAGAGTACTGGAAAACTTCCAAATATTTGTAAATGAAACAACAATCTTCTAAATAACCCATGGGGCAAAGAAGAAATCAAAAGGGAAATTATAAAGGGATTTTAATTAAATGAAAATATATCATATTAAAATTGATTGTACTTAGTAGGAAATCTGGAAAATAGGGAATAATTCCCTACTCACACTGAGGCCAGCACTACTATGCTACTCAAATGAGATCAAGATATTACCACACACACACAAAAAAAAAATCACCAAAAAAAAAAAGATAGATCACTATCCCTCAAGAAAAGATTAATAAATCTTTTAGAATTCCAAATCAAATAGAGCAACATCTATAGAGGATAATACATCATCACCAAGATGGGTTTATCTCAGAAATGTACAGATTAACATTCAAAAATATGAAATGCAGTTTAACCTCTCAAATACTAAAAAAATAAAAATCATAAGATCACCTCTATAGATGCTCAAAAAATACTTTATACAATCCAACATTTGTTCGGGATACAAACTCTTAGTAAATAAAAAGTAATTGGAAACATCCTTCCCCTAATCAAGGGCATTTATGAAAAAAATCTATGGTTAATAGACATTTTTGCAGGTAAGGTAAAGATGCATGTTGTGATCTCTAGATCAAACACTAAAAGTACTGCAAAAGGGGGGAAAATAATCATTTCAACAATGGTGCTGGAAAAACTGTGTGCATAATGAAAAATAATCTCAACCCTTATCTCATTTTATAAACCAGGAGTGGGCAAAATCTGGCCTCTGCTTGTTCTTATAAGGCCCAGAAGCTAATCAACAATGTTTGTGACAGAGGAAAATTATATGAAATTCAGATTTCAGTATCTATACACCAAGTTTATTGGAGCACAGCCATGCTCACTCATTTGTGTGGTGTCTCTGACTCTTTGGCACTGCAGGGGCAGAGGTGGGGAGCTGGGACAGAAAACTGAAATCTTTACCATCTGACCCTTTCCAGAACAAGTTTGCTGATAGTTCCATAAACAAAAATGAATATAAGATGGGTCAACTTTCTCAATAAAGCTTCTGAGAAAAAGCTGAACAAATTCTTTTCATGACCTTGGAGTAGGCAAAGATGTCTTTGAGAGGACAAAAAATATTCTAATCTTTAAAAAGCACATTTTTCTTTGTCAAAAATTTAAAATCCTGTTCATCAAAAGATATTAAGAGCTCTCTTCACCCTCTTTCCTGCTCTCCAGCGGCCGCAGCCATGAAGGTCGAGCTGTGCAGCTTCAGTGGGTACAAGATCTACCCCGGACATGGGTGGCGCTATGCCAGGACCGACGGGAAGGTTTTCCAGTTTCTTAATGCAAAATGCGAGTCGGCATTCCTCTCCAAGAGGAACCCTCGACAGAAAAACTGGACCGTGCTCTATAGGAGAAAGCACAAAAAGGGACAGTCAGAAGAAATCCAAAAGAAAAGAACCCGCCGTGCAGTCAAATTCCAGAGGGCCATCACTGGTGCATCTCTTGCTGATATAATGGCCAAGAGGAACCAGAAGCCTGAAGTTAGGAAAGCTCAGCGAGAACAAGCTATCAGGGCTGCCAAGGAAGCAAAAAAGGCTAAGCAAGCATCTAAAAAGACAGCAATGGCTGCTGCTAAGGCTCCCACAAAGGCAGCACCTAAGCAAAAGATTGTGAAGCCTGTGAAGGTTTCTGCTCCCCTTGTTGGTGGAAAACCCTAAGTTGGCAGATGAGATTCTTAAATAAAGACCTGACTATAAAAAAAAGATATTAAGAAAGGGCATGTATCCAAAATATAAATAATTCGTACAAATCAATAACTTAAAAGGTAAGTTATTCGATTTTTAAAAAAGAACAGAAGAGTTAAACAGAGTGGAAAACAAAACAAAACAAAACAAACAAACAAAAAAAACACCCAAGATCTATAAGTAGATGGTTCCCTCTTCATAGAGGGTATATTTCCAGCTGCTCAAATTCTTTTTTTGGCTAGTAAAACCCTAAGGTCATCCCTCCCCAGGAATTATCTTTGGTTAAAGAGAACGCTTCAGCCAAGGTCCCTCCACCCCTTCCCAGGGCAGCTGCATGCATGGTGTCCTCTTTCCCAGAACACTCATTGATGAGATTTAGAATTTATATTTCCTTCTTAGAAAATACGCACCATGCCTCCCTCACTACCACCTGCTAAGGCTGAGCTGAGACAGGTAAACATCACATCAGCAGGTGCTTACAGTGTCCTGGCTGGTCCTGACTCCTAATTCAGACAGAACCCACTCAACCTGGGAAGTATCAACACTGCTACTACACAGGCGGCCACTTGAGGGCGCTGTGGATCCACAGAATAAGCTGCTGATGGGGCCCTGTGGGAGACAGAGGGTTAAGGGAGAGAGTCTTGGCTTGGTCCCTATATCAGGGAGACTATCTGATGAATCAGAGGTTTGCTGATCATATCTTCTCACATTAACTGATATGCAGGTGTGTTGTCACAGCAGGAAGCCATGAGCTTGGCCTTGCCTGGAATTAAGCTCTCTTTTGGAGCATATGTTTGGTGGAGAGTGTGATGGGACTTCCTTCAGCCTGAAGCTTGGATAATTCAAGCCAGGTGTACCTGCTCCTAGGAAACAGAGATGCTGTGAGGATGGTCATCTGCCACAAACCCTGCCTGGCCCAGCTGGGCACATCCAGCAGCACTTGCTCATAGGAAGATGGACAGAGTGTCTAGACTCTAGACCAACTGAGCCTGTCCAGGAAGTACAGGTTGTGTGT